GAGCAGATCTAGACCGAACTCCTTGTGTCAGTCCTGCTTTGTGTGTTTCATCCTAAATTCCTCCTTTCTCCCACCTGAGCTGCTTTCAGCTTTGTTGAGCACCCGTTGGAGGGAGCTTATTGTTCAAACAGTGGGAAACACTTCAAGTTTCTCTTCTCTCAGGTTGAGATTGGAGGCTTAAACATGGATAAAGGTGTTTAAATAAAATCAAATATCTAGTGAGATAACAGCTAAAAGACTGTAATCCTGGTTAAATCAGTTTGGGAAACAAATTATATCTTTTGGGATTAAGTAAAAAAAAAAAAAAAAACACTTGGAAGGAAAAGTGGCATCTAGTGTATTTTATATATTATGTTGCTGATTAAGATGATAAAGTTTACCTTACCTTTAATATTTAACAAACAGGTGATGTTTGACTCCCAGCATCCCTTTAGGAGAGCGTGTTTGTGTGCAAACAGATAAATTACAGCCTTACGTAAAGGCGCCTGTCTAACCTGCAGAGGTTACCGTCTGTTTCCAAAACACATGTTTGAGACTGAAATCATCCTGATAATTGTAGGTGATTAAATACCTGCAGGGAATCTAAAGCTAATATTCATGAATTACTCACTGGTGTCGTCGGGGAAGCATTTGTCCACCATGGCCATGTACTTCTCCTCCGTGGTGAGAACAGTGCCCCCTGTAGGCAGCAGCTTCTGGCGGGGAGGAACTCCTTTAACGAAGGTCTGATGGAAGACGACAGAAGAAAGAAGAAGGTTTTATGAATCAGAGGAGATGAAGTTTTGTTGTTGTTGTTGTCAGTGAGACAACCGCTCAGCTCCAGGCTGTCCGTGGCACTCCAGGGCAGTAGGTTGGCTTTCAACCCACATGTATCCGGTCCCTCCACTTCCGTTGTCGGTCAAAGTAAAGGACGGCCTCCTCGTACAGCACCCTCGCCGTCCTTGGGCGCCACCTGGTCAACAACAACACACACACACACACACACACACACACACACAAATAGATATATTCATGTGTATTTAAAGAGCAAAAACACCTTTTTAGCTGAAACCCTGCGTATATTGGTATTTAGGGTTGTTTTTGTTGTTGATCAATTTGGGTCCAAATCTGGACAATTTAGTTCAAAGTATTTGAATTGTACACCAGAGTTAGCTTCTCTACAGAGCAGGTTACTCGCCAACTAACAACTGATTAGTTAGTTAACGTTTTGCTAACATTAGCTATCTTAAGATGTGACTATATACTGAATGTTAAAGTTAATATAAAAGTAACATAAAAAGTATATAACCACATTTAAATTTGCTAATGTTAAACTTTCTAACTAACCAACTGACGTTTGGTCAGCTACCTAGTTAGTCAGCATTTTACATTAGCTAAGTTAAGATGTGACTATTTATATGTCACTTTTATCTTTGAACCGTCTTTAAAATGTGGTTGTCTTTTCAACATAG